GAACAGACAGGTGAACATGTGAACAGACAGGTGAACATGTGAACAGACAGGTGAACATGTGGACACACAGGTGAACATGTGAACACACAGGTGAACAGACAGGTAAACAGCTCCACACCTGAGCCGCCTCTCGCAGACGGTAGCAGACATCTTCAGCCAGCAGAGCGGCCACATCGTCACCCAGTTCCACTCCTGAGCTCTCYGCCATCAGCTTCACAGAGTCGCGAGAAACCTCTGCGAAGCGGCGCTCCTCCCGGTCCGCCATGGTACCGAGACCAGCTGGGTCTGTGAGGGAAACAGACAGATGACTGGTTTTCGTTCATTCATTTTAATTATCATGTAAATGGCACTGCATATAATACATAATAACATTAACATAAAATGGATAACACAATAAAGCATAAAGCTTATTTCTATTGTGGTTCAACACATAGTCATCACACAAAATCACTTACACACAAATAACATCAGTTAAAAAAAAGACTAGATAAAATAAAATACTACTAATAAATATAATCATCAGATTCTTGCCTGACTAGCCTTTGGAATAAGAACTGTTTAACACGACACTTGAACACGGGCTTGTACGCAGTAACCTGAATATACTCTGGTAACTCGTTGCACAACATTACCCCACTATAATGAAAAGTGTATTTGCCATGAGTTTTAACAGCTGGAACTTGAAATGACTTTTTACTAAASCTTGTTCCAATTGAGTGGCGATTTCTTACTGGTTCAAATGGTTGAGATAAGCGGTTTGGAACTTCCTTGTTTACAATACTATAACGAAGATTAACCCTAGCTCACATGGTAGCATTCAACCTGACTAAACTGTTGTGCTCCAGTGTGTGTGCGAGTTCCTACATTTATTAGATATCTTATTACTTTGTTCTGAGCATGTTGTAACTTAGTTTTATATTGTTTACTTAGTCCGGAAATCCAAAATGTGCAAGCATATTCAAACTGACACTGAACTAACGCTGACACAAGCTTTATTTTGTTTTATTTATTTATTTATTTTAGTTTTTAGGTTGACATTTCCAGCTCGTCTATATAGACACTTAAGCCTGGCGTTTGCTTTTTTTTTTTAAAAAAAAAAAAACATTTTCTGCTATGTCTCTCCCAGATAAGGCTTGGTTAAGTTTGACACCAAGATAGCTCACCACCTTAATAAGTCGCCTCCACATTATTGTACTTGGTTTACTGCCGACTTAACGAGTTAGCTTCTGATGTAGCATCATCACCATCATCATCATCATCATCATCATCATCATCATCATCATGTGCATGACTTCAGGCTCTATGAATTCAGACAAGAGAGCTAACATCTTCAATATTTAGAGATTTTTTTTCCAGATAGTTAATTCACATTACTTCTGTTTTGAGGTAAACAAAATAAAATAAGTCTGCAGGAAGATATTTTGTTGATCTGCAGTCCTCTATGCTCCTCTCAGTTCGGTTCAGCTTAGCGAGTTAGCATCTGACGCTATCTGCTCGCTAACAGCACAAAATAACAACCCTATAAAAGAAAAACCTTTGAATAAACCAGATTTTACCCTGATGAAGCTACAGCTGCAGAGGACCGAGCATCGTTACAAATTCGTCCTGTTTATACTTTTCTTCTTCTTCTTCGGTCTTCTCTTCTTCTGCTGCTGCTGCTTTGGATGTCAAACAACCGTACAGGTTTATCAGCGCCACCTGCTGGACTGGAGGCGCTGCCTCCACCCAGACCGCAGAATCTGAGAGACTGCTGTTGGTGTTGTGAATGTATGGGAACAAATATTAGTCTTATTTATATTTGTACTTGTAAATCAGACTTTGTACTTGTGGATTAAGATGGAATGTGTGTGTGTGTGTGTGTGTGTGTGTGTGTGTGTGTGTGTGTGTGTGTGTGT